ACCCACAAGATTATAAGCATAACTGCTTAGGTAAAATTGGTTAAATCTGGATCAAATGGAAAAGCATGTCAGGTAGCAAGCAGGCATGAATACATAACAGGAGCTCTTCCAGTAGGGGGCTGGGGTAGGCTCTTCCTGGCTTTTTCAAGGGGATTGCTACCTATTTAGAATATCAATCTCTGATGTTCGGCTCCAGGGAGGTATGTGCTGCATTTGTTTACTCTTTTGTCTTGGGGTCTGGCTCACAGTGGAAGTGCTTGTGTCCCCCAAAGTTGCAAGACCTCCTGTCTCTCTTTCACTCTGGCTCCTTCAAGGGCCTAGCTCTATCTGACTGCCTGTAATATTTCTATCATAAAATCAGTTGCCTACAAGAATAAGAGAAGAGAGGCGGGGGAGATGGCTCAGTAGGATAAGTGCTTGCCTGGCAAGTGCAAGGGTCTGAGTTCAGTCCTCGGTTCCACCAAAAACAACAACAACAAAAAAAAAAACCAAAACCAAGAATATGAGAAGAGGGGTGTGGGTGTATGGTGATGGCTTTGATGTTAGCCTTGTGAGCCAAAGTTCCTGTGATAGGGAAATGGAGCAAGAGTCAACCAGTACAGGGCCGGGGAGATAGCTCAGTAGAATAAGCACTTGCCTGGCAAGCGCAGGGTCCTGAGTTCAATCCCTGGTACCACCAAAAAAAAAAAAAAAAAAAAAAAAAAAGAATCAACCAATTCAGACACAGAATGCAAACTTGATTCAGAGGAAGAGCAGTGGGTACATATTTGATAACCGAAATGCTGCAAAATAGTCACACAATCAAATGGAGTGACCCAATGTTAGAACTAGGTCCCTTAACAGGGATGAAACATACTGGACAGAATGCCAGCCCTGCCGTTCAATATTGGAAACTATAATGGATGAATGCTATATGATGCTGTGAAATACATAATGGCTGAGATACAAGTAAAATGTTCTGTATGAACCAACAGCTATATTCAAAGGTGGGGGGAGCTGGGGAGATGGCTCAGTGGAATATGCGCTTCCCTGGCAAGCTCAAGGGCCTGAGTTCAATCCCTGGTTCCGCCAAAAAAAAAAAGTCTGTTTATTATGACACCTTGCTAGCTAAACTGAAAACATTCATAAGTCTGCTATACTTAGTAAGGATTCCCCATGATTATCAGAGGAATGTAAAAGACTTCTATGAAAAAGTGATGGGTCAAAATATAGTATAAATATTCCTTTGCAGGCACAAAGACTTATTGTGTTTTCCATTTATACATTTATTCTGGAACTCACCCATAGGTCCTTATTTGTATAGTAATAAAGAGAAGGACTGTGGGTTTGGTTTGGTTTTGTTTCTTTGGCAGAACGGGGATTGAACTCAGGATCCTACACTTGCAAGCACTTATCCTACTGAGCCATCACCCCAGCCCAAGAATGACTTTGTAAACAGAACTGTTGATCCCATCTCCCAAAGTAATCAGATTGTGTCATTTAACAACTGGTTTACTCCTTTTCAACTGATGTTACATCATTTGTCTACAGAGCACAAGTTCTCCAGCACAGGTACTGTATGCAGGAACAAATCAGACATTCCAAATGAATTGCTGCAATTGCAAAATGGAGAACTGTATAGTACAATCCTTGGATTTCAGAAAGATTTACGTTCGCCTCATGTATGAATAAGAAAAACATGGGGCTGGGGAGATGGCTCAGTGGAATAAGCGCTTCCCTGGCAAGCGCAAGGGCCTGAGTTCAATCCCCAGTTCTGCCAAAAGAAAAGAAAGAAAAACAAAACAGATATGCTAATGGCAACACCACAGTGGAAATATTGATAGGGAAACCTCAACAAAATGAAAGCCTGAGATAGGAACTTTCTGTAACAACATCAAAGGCAGACTAGTGGGGCCAGGGAGATGGCTCAGTGGAGTAAGTACTTCCTGGCAAGCGCAAGGGCCTGAGTTCAATCCACGGTTGGGAGGAGGGGGGAAGAGGCAGAATAGTTTTGTTTGTTTGTTTGTTTTTTGAAGAACTGGGGATTGAACTCAGGCTTTTGTGCTTGCCAGGCAACTTATCAAGAATTTAATATTTTATTTTATTGGTATTTTATGCTCTTGTTAACTACACATTTCATAACATATGAAGAACCTCCTAAGGGGATGGGGAGGGGAGATAGCTCAGTAGAATAAGCACTTCCCTGGCAAGCGCAAGGGCCTGAGTTCAATCCCTGGTTGTTTAAAAAAAAAAAAAAAAAAAAAAAAGAACCTCCTAGACCACTTGTGGTTGTGCACGCCTGTAATCACAGCACTGAGGAAGCTGAAAACAGGAGGATCACTATGAATCTGAGCTGTGTAGTGAGTGAGACCTTGTACCAAATACATTTAAAAAACAAACAAACAAAAAACTCCTGACAAAAAAGCAAGACAACTGAGAGGTCAAGTATCCTACAAAAAGGCCAGCAAAGTAAACCACATGTGCTGTCAGAGTAAGCCACATGTGTGTATGGAACGTACTGCTGTCATGTGTGAAGACAACTCTCCCCCCCACCCAACCGGGGATTGAACTCAGACCCTTGCGCTTGCGAGGGGAAGCATTTATTCTACTGAGCCATCTCCCCAGCCCTTCATTGTATTTCATATAGGAATTTATTTCTGATATTGTTTGTTAGACTTTGCATATCAAAAACAAGTTAATGTTGAAAACTGTGATGCTGTTTTATAAACAGTCAATAAATATTAAAAATGTAATACTTAGCCAGGTGTGCTGGTGCTTGCCTGTAAATCACCACTTAGGAGGCTAAGGCAAGAAGATCCATGTGAGTTCAAGGCCAGCCTGAAATACATAGTGAAACACTGTCTCAAAAAGACAAAAAAAAAAAGGGGGGCTGGGGAGATAGCTTGGTGGTCTAAGCACCCGCCTGGCATGCACAAGGACCAGATTCAACTCCAGGACCACATGAGGTGCCAGTCCATGTCCCACTGCTTAGTGAGACCCAGTACCAAATAAATAAAAGATTTTTTTCAAAAAGACAAAAAAAAAAAAAAAGCAATACTCTTGGGGCTGGGGAGATGGCTCAGTAGAATAAGCACTTCCCTGGCAAGTGCAAGGGTCTGAGTTCAATCCCCGGTTCCACCAAAAAAAAAAAAAAAAGCAATACTCTTTTTGTAATTTTTCCCGTTAAGCACTCATTGTTTAACATAATAAACTCATATTAAAATTAATAATTCATCAATAGAAATATTCTAAAGGGGCTGTGGAGAGAGCTCAGTGGAATAAGTGCCTGGCAAGTGCAAGGTCCTGAGTTCGTTTCCCCCAGTACCACAAAAAAGAAGGAAGGAAGGAAGGAAGGAAGGAAGGAAGGAAAGAAAGAAAGAAAGAAAATCTAAAGAATAAACATAGATTTGACAGATCCATATTTGTGAGACTTTATGATGAAAACTGTGTTATGCCCTGCAAACCGACCTGGACGCTGTCTGTTCAGCTTGCATTTGGTTCCACTTCCCGCTGCCAGAAGCCTTACATTTAAAATGTCTACTCCTAAAAAATAAATTAATTAAATTTAAAAAAAAATAAAGGGAAATCCTGACCCTCCCGCCCCTATTCCCTCTCCAAGGTCCTGCAGCATCTCTGCTGCTCCTTTTAAGTGCCCTCCTGCTTTGTTCCGTGTTTGCCACAGGTTCCCTCCTCTTTCAAAAAGCTCTTCCCGGGGCTGCGAGTTCCTGAAACGCTCGGCCAACGCGCAGCCGCGCCCCTGGTGTGCGCTTGGGACGTTATCACAGAAGGAACCTTTCAAAGAAAGTACTTCTAAGTACTTACAGTGAAATTTAACAAACTAAATCTTCCTTAGACTACAATTCCAATTCCAAACAAAAAACTTTAAAAATAAAATAAAATTGTAAAATAATAAATGAAATTTAAAAATGCAATTCCAATTCCAAAGATATTTCAACTGTATGAATGACTGCACCAAAAACACTTTTTAAATTGTGTGGAGGTGGAGCTCAGTGGTAGAGCTCTTGTCTAGCACGTGGGAGCCCCGGGGTTTAATCACTAGCGCGCGCTTACACACACACAGGCGTGCGCACGGAAAGAGTAGGAAAAGAAAGGGACACAGCTTGGTGCAGACCCTGGCTTCAGTGCTTAGCACCACAACCAAGAAGGAATAAGCCAGTCTGCACTGTGGGTCACAAGTCTGTAGTTGCATACTAACTAGCTAGCAGAATCATTAAAACCTTGACTACTTTCGGAGAAAAGCAGATTGTCATTTCTCTCCATTTGGGAGCTGGGGAAGCAAGAGAAACTTGCTACGCGCCACTTCCACAGCTCGGGGCGGCGCTGGGGACTCCTCCAGGTACGGATTCCGGGGCCTCCGCGGTGTTTACAGCCTGTGCTCGGGCTGGCTGAGCCCCCGGAGAGGTTACGAGGCAAACAGGGCACCCGGCTCGGAACTCAGAACAAAAGGGGGGCTGCATAAGAATGCGCTGCCGGGAGGGGCGTGGGTCGGAAAGCCGTCTCCCGGGGGGAGACCGGAGGGGGTCGGAGGGCTGCAGCTGCGAAGCCGGGTGACTCTCCCTGCGGAGACAAAGAGCTGCCGGACCCGGTGTGCGAAGCCTGGCGGGGACGCCCTCGGCGGGCCAGCGCGGGCTGGGCAAGGTGGGCTCCAAGATCTGGAAGGTAAACTTGGGGACAACCGTTACTGAGAGGGGAAGGAGACAGACGGAGGAGAGAGAGACCAAGACAGAGACGGAGAGGAGGCGGGGAGCAGGCGAGACCGAGGCAGACCGGCGGCGGGCGGGCGAGCTCGAAGGGCGCCTTTTGCATTCGGGTGCGCGGTCCGCGGGGACAGGGAACTGCTGCGCCCTCAAACCCTCCGAGAACTCCGGTGCGAGCTCCGCGCGCGCCTGGTCGTTCTTACTCCGGGAGCGCCGCGCTCCGCCCTTGCGACTTCCACGTCCTAACCGGCAGCTTTGCAAACGGCAGCTACCCGACCTCCTGGCTCTCGTGCCCACCCCACGCCAGGCCCGCCGTGCGTCTGCCCGGGCCAGCGTTCCTCCTCGGACACCTGGTGGCCGGGGCCAGGCCACCCGGTAAGGGACGCCCCGGGGCGAGGAGCCCCGACCGACGGCTGCCGCGCCTCTAGCATCCACCCCGACCACCGTCGTCTCTTTCGTTTGTTTGGTCGGTTTTTGGCTCAGCGTCTTGCTCCTCCAACTGCAGGCGGTCCTCCTGCCTCAGGCTCCCAGGCGCTGAGATTACAGGTGCGCGCTACCACGACCGACTTTACTTTCGTGTCGTTAAGGTACCGACTTCGCTACCCTAAACTGGCAATTCCAAATTAGAAAGCAATGGACAGAGATATTTTATTTACTTATTTATTTATTTAATGCTGGGACTCCAACCGAGCGCCCTGCACTCGCCAGGCGGGCGGGCGGCTGCGCCGTGTCCCCGGCCCCGCGCACAGAGACCTCAGACGCGGGTCCCGCTGCGCTGCCCGGGCTCGCCGCGAAGCCCTGGGCCAAGCATCGCGCCCGCCTCGGCCTCCCGGCCGCCGTTTCTCGTCTCCCAGGCCGCTGGCCCCGCGGGCAGGATTTCCGTGCGGTGGCCACGCGCAGATTTTAAAGAAAACTGAAGGGGCGCGCGCCGCCGCACCGCAGTGCGAGCGATCTCGTGCACCAGGCCGAACGCCGAGCTGGCGCGCGCGCTCGGAATCCCGCCCTCGGGAGGCCGAGGCAGGAGAACCGCTGCGAACCCGAAGCCGCGGCGGCCCAGCCTGGACTTCGGAGCGGGACCCTGTCTTCCGAGCCAACGGCCGCTCCAGGCTGGAAGCCCGCCTGGCGGAAGAGCTCGCGGCCCACACCGAAGGCAGGGCGCGCGGGCGCGGCGGCTGCGGAGCGTGCTCCCCCCGGCTCCCCGCGGGCGCCTCCAAGGCTGGGGAGCGCGAGGGCGCGGGC